TAAGCCATCCGACAGTAACAAAATGTACATACAACATTTTTGTACTGCCTGACATTAAATACTTTGCGCAACATCCAAAACTACTAGCAACATTCCAGTCTGTCACGACAAAGAGATGTTGAAAGGTGTAATTGACAGTCTAATTTTTTAGTATCAACTTTAAGGTGGGGAATATGAATTCGTTGGCAATATGCAGTACTCGTAGAAGCTGTGCCGTGTGTGTGGCGAGGCGAGGAGCACAGCGGTTACTGCGGGCCGAGACAAGGCGTCCTGGCCGTCCTCTATGAATATTATATCACCGCTTTACTGAGATCGTCGGCCGCAGCAAATTGTCAAGTGGCGCTTGTTAATTACGCCAATTGCCTATTGAATAGATGACAAATGGATATTGATTTAATTTGCTTACGGTTGGATCGTATTCTTATTATATATTTGAATATTGAATAATGCAATAAGCTTCGTTTGTAATTTTATTTCGAAGCCGTGATTGATAATTGTCACGAGAATTTAATTTTTCAATATCTCGTCGTTTTGTTTCAATTAAAGCAAACTCCGTAGCAAGTAAAACTATTTGCCAAGTTGCTATTTAATAACAGTTGCTTACTACTTGTCGGCAAGTCGCGCAGGGCCAGGGGCAGGGGACAGGAGCGCGGGCGGGGACGGGGTGGAACTCAATTTGCCAATGTAAATTGGTTGCTTTGAGATTTCTGTTGAATAAACAAAACTTGACGTTACAAAATCTTATTAGCTCAAAGTGTATTAATATTAGTTTATTATTTAGGGAACTTGTCTCGACGTATACACTAATCTTAGTAGTAATATGATTTGCGTGATTATTTACATTACAAGTTGTATTGCTTACATATTAGCATCTTCTTTTAAGATTCCTAGTTTATAAATTCCTTAGAAACCTCAGTTGTGTCCTTGTTTTTGCGTAATTCATTTGGGAAGATTCATTTATCCATCATACAATCTTGTGTCGATTTATGTAGGCAATGTCCATAGGCTGCGGTCGCTTCGATATATTGCCAAATTCACGTAGCCACACCATGCTATATAAAAACAAATAGAATTTTACCAATTACATTACTTTTTATCAGAAAATAAACAATTGGTAACTAAATTAAATGTCATTGTATTCAGAACTGATATTTTCAATTCCATTTATTTCCTAACGACCTGTCCTCCATGTATATGTATACTAATAACTGTTATTTATCTCAAAATAACGATACAGTTTTAGATCGTCTGCCCTTACCCCCGTCCCCGCCCCCTGCACCCTGCACCCTCGCCACAGCCACACATGACAATTTAATTAACTCTGTAGTGGCGTATACATGTCCGATATTATTGAAAAATGCATGGTTTTAACATGCTACACTAGTCGAGATTTTCATCTCTTCATATTTTGTTATACTGAATTCAATTATTTTGACCATTTGTAAAGATGATATTCAGTAACGAATTCAACGCTACTAGGATCCTGGGCCACATTTAAACGGCACTTTTTTAAAACCTCGGTGGATTAAACAGGGTTATGCGAGACTGTCAGATTCGCAGACCTGTGACGTTCGTTTCAGTCCAGCGCCCTGGGCGGTCTTCTATCTGCGCTCTACTCTGACAACTGACGTCCTGGTGATATCATTAGCAGTTACAGTGTCTTCACTCGCCAGTCCAAGATGTCTTCGTGTCATAAAATGGTCAACATTTTTCATGCATGCTATAAACTTGGAATCTCCGTGTACGGCTTTCAGTGGAACGTTGGTCGATATTTTTATTTTCTTCTGATATTAGCTAAGCACAAATACTGCTGTTGTTTTGAATTTAAATTAAACATGAGGCAGCAGTGCGAGGCGGCGGTGTACGCTGTCGGCCCGCCCGTTCCCTGTCGAGCAGTTTTGTGTTTGAGGACCTCTGTGATCGATCATGCATTATTTATTATTCACACTGACAGCCTGTCTGCAACATTTTATAGATTTTTTTTAACTAAATGGATAAAAACATGTTAGGTGCTTTCCAAGTAATTCCTGTTGTATCTACTAGGAACTCTTAAAGCAATCTGATGTCTTCTAAATTATGTTCTTCGGCAAAATAAACAACCTAAATTTAATTAGTTCGAAACTTACTTAACTACATTTTAGTTTAAATTAATTCAGACAGGAACGGAATATACTCGTGATTTGGACTTCCAAAATTAGTAACAGTCCGTCTCATGCACTTAAAGACAGATAATTGGCCACTGGTAGAATAGAATGTGGCAATTATCCCGTCCTCAAGAGCTAGTGGCCACTTCAAATGTTACCGCAGACGTTTGCCGCCAGTGGGCCCTCGCCAGCAATTCCAAGATCATTGATGCCAACTGAAGCACGTGATCATGTAGCGTAAGCTTAGGTGCTTAAAATTTGTAGTAAATCAATAGCAATTGTGTTTTTTGACATTTTCCTTAAAACTTAATGCAAAGCTCTACATTATTAAAAAAGTTTGTGCGTTTATACCATTAATAGGCACCTTTATGTCAACATTAAATTTCCAAATATGAGCGTTGTCGTATTATTTGTATAATTTGCCAGTAAATCACACGAGTAGGGTTAATTAAAAACCATATTTCATAAATGAATGTTGAATTACGCACAATAGTTTCACAACAGTTCTGCGTATGTTCACTGTAATTGAATTTGCATTCGTTTAATGTGAATTTCCAAATATTATTCCATATATTATATGGCGATATATCATGCTTTGTGTATCTAGTATTTCTATAGGAATATGTCACCGGCAGATTGTAAACTTTGTCACATTATAATCTCACCAAGAAATAAGTGAAGTTACGAATCCGTATGCTACTTGTTGTTTGCTAAACGTTTATAAAACGTTCTCAAGAATTCTTGGAAATAAAGTCAGAAGTGAAATAACTCTAAAAGGATCATAAATCCTTTATTGAGCGTTGTCGCAGAAAACTTGCGTTGGGAAACAGCGCGCTGAGTTATTGTGTGCAGTTAGGACGCCACTGAACGCCGAACATAAGGCTTTGGGCGCCAGCATTAGACGCCGGGCTTTAGACGCCGGGCTTTGGACGCCGATTGTGCTCTACATGACATAGTTTCCCTCGACGAAAGCATTTGAAACAAATAAATACTAATGTAGAAAATTATTCTTTACGGGATTCAGTCATAATCCTCTTGTTTCAAATTTCTAACTTACTTTACGACTTAACTTTTATTTTCATTACATTAAGTTCACATGCCGAGTATTGAACAGATAAAGTTAGTGAATCAAAGTTCTATCGTAATACGAAATGCACGTTTGAAGTCAATATTGCAAATGATTAGAAACAAATCGTTTCCTATCTAAACTTCGCCACTACGGACTTCCGTAATGTTGATCTACTGAGCGTTGTCATTCTAAGGGTAATTTTAAATTTAATTCAACTTCGATAGCTTCTACAGCAATGCAGTCACAAGCGAAACTTTACGTTTTTTCTATACATTTCTTTCTAGAATATTTGTGACGAAATTAAACCTGCCATAATTGTTACAACAAAACTGTTTACTCAGCTATTTGATCACCTACTATATAAGTATTTATATAATATTTTTAAAATGAATGTAAATTTGATCAGTACTAAATATCGTCTAGAACAAAACTATACTTAAGCGAAGTTTCTCACGAACAAACAGAATGAAATCGTTTCGAGAGCAAAGTTGTGGCGGAGAGGCAGCGACTGCGACATTTGTCACCCGCCGCTAGGACACAGAGTTGGGCAGCGTAACAATGGAGGCAACTCCGCGACCGACGACGCTATTAAGTCGATTAGTTTGCATCACTCGCATACCATTGTGTTAACTAGCGCCCCTCCCCGCCCCCCGCACCGCACCGCACCGCACCGCCACACAGCCCCCCCCCCCCTCACAATACTCTCACTCACTACCACTTCACGAACTATTCAAATGCTTTCTAATCTGATAATGTGATTATTGAATATTGTTGCAATTTCTATGTGCTAGATGAAATACAGATGTAAAATTATTTACCAACGTTCAAGGGAATTATCGTTATTCGCTCCAGTTACCCATTGTAACTAAACAATTAGATTTGTGTACGAAATAGTTAGCCTTCGTAACTAAACAAAACTTGCTATTAATTTATGTTGAACAAAGGCGAACTATCCGCCGCGGCCGCGCGGCTGCCGATGCGTCGAACGCACAGACCGACAAAGGGCATAACTTTATGCAGCAATTAATGTTTCATTGCTCCCCCCTCACACCCGCCCCCGCCCCACGCCCATTTAAACCTGCATTAATAGCTAGTGCATATTTCGTCTTTTGTTTACGTAATACGTATCGGACTTATATAAAAAAAAATGCTTTTAAATCATTGTTTTGATGTACACTGCCGATATGATGTTTTAATTTACTATTCCATTTGTACTAAAACGCAACAATACAGTATTGTAAGCATAGAGTAGACCAGTAGACATCACAATTATTATTATCGTTGCAATATATACTTGGTATTTACATAGTCGTGTTCTAGATAACCCTTATCAAGTTAAGGACTAAGCCATTAACAATAAAATCCAATCGTCATTCGGTTTGTTGAACCGGAAACTTTGGTTAATGCGTTACGTCCCCGATAACCGCAAACGGTCCAAGTTTTTCCAAACTCCTTACTCATATTACACGTTAAGAGATAGAAGTGACGCTCTCTGAGAGTCCATTCAGTTTTACGAGCTCAGATCTGACGGTTGATCCTTATCCTGCCCCTCTCCTCCCCTTCCACTCGACTCCGTACGTAGTAAAATGTTACAAGAGAGTATCGTTATCTAGTTTTAGGAAACACGTATTAATTTTATGACTATTTCAATGAAGCGTTGATTGTTATAAATTTTGTAAACTGTCGTATAACCTCGGATTTAGCTTAGTTTTTGATTACGTGTGGAATATTCTTTAACCTTCTAAGATTCTTTAAAGAATTTGTTCTTATTCTTTTGAGTAAAACATTTTCTTGTAATGTGTGGAAAATCGTAATAAAGCAATGTCATCCGTCAGTTTCCGTCACGTAACATAACGAAACGTGACTTCACTCAACTACGATTTGTTAAACGCCGATAATCCGCCGCTAAACCGCAAGCCGCTCGTACCTCGTATCACATAATCGCTATGATAAGAGCTCACAATGAAACTTATTAAGTAGGTAATTCACCTCGCACATTGCGCGGGGTGTGCGGAGGGTGCAGAGGGCGCGCGGGGGGAGGGGTTGCTGTGCAAATGAGCTCAGTGAATTTATCGCCGTTCGCTCGTGACGCGGCCGTTTTCAAACGCAGCTCCAACTTAATATTCGGAATTAGGTTAGAATAGCGAGTGTCGTGTTATGAATACGCAAATCAGTACACGTTTCGTTGCCTCTAATGTAATCGTTTTATCTGCTTTGTTTTGAAAATCTTTTAATAACAACAATTTGAAAATGCCACTTAACATGGTATTTTCAGTTAGAGGAGAATTTTATTATTGTCTACATAACATAAAAGATTTAGGTAATCATTTTGTACTATTAAAGCTTCCTAACTAGTGGAGAATGGTATTTCTCAAATTAGAGCGTGTTGGTGATGCGCTTGTTAGTTGCAAGTTAACACTCCCGCCGCCACCGCGCCTATCCGAGCCGCCCCGAGCCGCCCCGGGCCGGGGCATGTCGTTGCAAATCAAATGTTTGCAGTCGTGCGTACTCTCTGCCAATTTGATTTCATTAATTTGTTTGCAAATCCCATCAAACCTAACTTTGAAACATCAGTCACAATAATATTGCAGTTTGGCAAGTTGCAAGAAATCCTATTCTTTTAAAAGATATATAATCTAATTGGTAAAGCATAATTGCTGCTAATCTATAGTTTCTGGATAACTTTTACTTCTCATTGACTTAACATAAAATAAAGCAAAAAACAGACACGGCAAATCAAAAATTATTACACGTTTTATATGCCCAACACACTCAATTGTTTTTTTTTTCAATTCGACAGTAATTGAAAAGTTAGGAATACAGGACAAAACTACAAATAAAAACAAATGTGTACCCTTACATTTTACCAACTAGATATGATGTTAGTAGTCATGTCGCGTGCTTTCTGTATCTCAGAGGTAATTGTAATTTACACATGAAGGATGTGTACAGTGGGCGAGCGAGGGCGCGTGTTACGGACACGGGCTCACCACTATGAATATTACATTAAACTATTCGGAGATTGCGAGGGACAAGGTAACATTGCCGCGGGGGAGCGGCCAGCTGGCGCGGGGGTCGGGGGAAGGGGTTACAGGATATTAAACTAAGCCTCGAGTACATTTATCATTTCCTAAACACACACCTGCTTATAATTTAGAACAATTCTCGTACAGTAACAGTAATTTATACTTGAACTTGGATTTATTTTTCGAACAATCAGCTGTTTAGATTACTTCATAAGATATGATGACCGCACTTAGATTTTAATGTTTATTTAAAACGCAATTCTATGAAACAATTTAACATAATGTATTTTATGTTACACAATTTTGTAATTTGTTGACTTTTACTATTTTCCAAATGAATAACATTCCGCATAAAATATTCGTGAAATTGTGACACAAAACCGGTTGTTATAATAATTTTAATCGTCGGCTAGAGTTGGTTAACGCTCGAATTAATTAAATATGAGGCAGAAAAGCAATCGCTGCCTCCCCTCAGCTCCGCCACCGCCGCCGCCGCCGCCGCCGCCGCCGCCGGCGCGAAAATATGATTCATTTTCAACACCCTTGTTGTTACAATATCATAACCCAGTTATCACAAAATACAATAACACGTATCTCTTTCGAGTTTTCATTATGCAAGGGAAATGTTGAATTAGTAATATTTTAATTACCCTTTTTCTTGAGATGTAAAGCTCTTGAAGTGGCTTCGTCATTATCGAAAGTCGATAATCAGTTTAACACACTATACTAAGGGTTTTGTACAGTTTTAGCATTACCGATACTTTAGGAGCCTAAGAAGTTAAAACTAAGCAAATACCAAGGTAATATTGTTTCAAATAGTTGTGAACATTCAATTGTGAGTACGTTTTGTAACGTCAACAATAGGTAGCGAGTGGCAGTGCGAGCGAACGCGGGGCTCTGCGAAGCGCAACTTCCCCCGAACTAACAGGTAAATATTAGTTTGAGGATAATAAATCTGTCTGCAGGCAAGGCAGAGTTTCGGCTTAATATCCTGTTATATTACGCCTCCCCGCAGCCCCCGCAGACCCCTGCAGGCCCCACTTCCGCAGATCTGCAAAGTTACTTCCCTGTGCAATGTGCACGGCTGACGTACGACCTCATAATCTTCTGAGACTTTGCACTGAGATGAATAATTACTAAAGTATATACATTTAAACCGCTTATGACCAGGATGTTAAGCAAAGTTATGACTAAGAATTAATTTAAAGAAAACTTGCTGATATACCTGCATTTTGTGGTTTCTCAGTCCTAAATAGCGTATTATAAATAATCCACAAAGTTATATCAACGTTATATCACAGCGACGGACGAGCACATACATTTCGTGCCAGACAAATAACCGCCTCGTTTTCCTCAAGTCGATATAATTCTGAATAATGATAGCTTAGAGGTTCACATTCACACAGCGACAAATTATTTTCAATTGAGTCCCTGATAAATGACGTTCAATAAAGTGGCTCAGGACAATATGGCGGCTCGGATAACATGCCGGGAGGACTTGGTTATTTTAATTTATTTTCCTCAAACGTTGAACTTTTTGCAATCATTATTTATACGCTGTTTTGTAGGCTACTAAATATTTTTGTCGATTTCTTTATAGTCAAAAGCACAGGAATTATTTGTTTATGTTTCTTTTAAACTATTAACTGATGAATAATAAATAACAACAAAGACAAGTATGAATAATGTGAGCTGAAATATTAATTTCCTTCCACGAGTAACAACATTACTGCTCCTAAATTGAACAACTTCTGAAATTGATGGGTATTGTTTTCTTCAGCTGTAACTATCACACGTGGCTCGTTAACAAGAGCAATTTACATATTTGCGTACCTCCGACTTGCGTAATTAGATACCGTACGCGACGCCCCCGCAGACGCCCCAACTAATACGGGTCTCTAATGGCGGCCGGAGCAAACTTCTATATGTAATGTATACGAAGTGCCCCAACAGCCAGCGGCGAGGCCCTCGGCCCTTCAATATAAAACAGACCTATAACAACAAATAAACAAGGCCCAGTCCCGATCCGTTAGTTGGTGTAACTTGCTAACACAAACCGAAATAAATCAGCATTGCTTTTTAGTGTGACGTTAACGTGACGGCAAAAAGCGGGCCGACGTGATTGACGCGAGCGCAGACAGGCGCAGACAACAGTCGGCACGCGGTAAGGTAGTTTAGACTTAAATGAAATAAGCTAAGAGTATAAAATGTGTTCAATTTGGCGTAAAAATGTGTGGGTTAAATATTTTGGTGCTTCCGTGACATACCTTTGAAAACTTTAGAATCTTTATTTCAATTCTGCAAAAATATTTTGATGGAATTTGAAACAAAAAAACGTTCCGAAGATCTGAAATGTGATAGTCTTATATAAACACGCTAAAGCGTTGTATTCTGGTGTATTTGTACGGCAGCTAAAATGCAATGAAACGGCAGACACAGAGCAGACCCACAGCGCCGGATTCAAAGTGCGCTGTGATGCTTCAATGCACTGACACAACGAATGCTCTCGACTCGACGACAGATCAACATCAAAGCCAGGCACTGGGGCACGTGCGGTTTGCCTGTTATCAGTCTTCGAACACAGCGCTATTTGTCTGTCTAATGAGCTTACGTCTCTCTGATGGAACAAGGCTGGGAAATTTGTGGATAGTGTCAATCATCTCATAAAAAACAAGCAATATTTACTATTAGTAGTTCCTTTACACTACGGAAAAGTACATGAATCGAACGACACTTCACTTTACATTATTTTACATTCAGTCCTAAACAATAATTCACGAGACAAAAAAGTTCGGTTAAGTAGATGTTTGTAAATGAAATCTTCAAATTTCGTCAAAAGTAAATTCCGACGGATTATTCTGTTGTCTGACATTTCATCTTATTATCACGAAAGTCTTGAAAGCGGCTTATTTTATTTTAATATTTGTACCGAAACCTAATTATAAATGGCAATAAACCGGGAATCTCTTGTTACAGACACACGATATTGTTTTTCAACGCGTTTTTTCATAATATTTCAGACATTCTAATAATTAGGGCCGCGCCGGGAGTTTAATATCCCAGACAATTATTAAGGTTTTGTGCTATTAATTATTTGTAATATGAGCTGATCGATCTTTTTTGTGCGAGCAGACATCATTTATGTGGTAAAAAAACTATATTTGGATGTGAGTGTGTCGCAATCAGTGCGTCACCATTTAGCCGCTCATCGATCACGCGCTGGCCGCTGGCCGCTGCCCGCCGCCCGCTGGCCGCTGATGGCCATTTCATTAAGTTGCTGTTGCGTCATTTTTGCCGCGGACAAGATAAATGACCAAAAGTTAGAAACGAACCGAACAAAACTGTTCAATACCACATTATGAAACGCATATTATCAACTGGCAATAGCAGCTATAAATAAAAATCTTCCTGCAATCAATTTCATCAACCTCTATTGCACTCTATGTTAAGATAAAGGTCCACTAACGTTTTCAACTATATTAAATTCGAGTTTTTTTACTTTGAACTTTTCAACGTTTTACCACGTGAAACATTACCAGATGAAATGTGACCTCGCGTACTCTTAGGTTAGGTTAAATGGTCTGGCTCTCGGATTGCGAGCTCTAGCCGGAGCCACTCACCAAAGTTGGTAACGACGTAAGAGACAGGAGTTTCGAGTCTTATCTCTCGGAGCTTAATTAAAATAGTTTGAGCACACAAAGAGCCCGCTCCGACTTAAAAAGGCTCCTCCGCTAGATCTTTGTCTGCAAACACAACTCGCGTCCCCCTCCCTCGCCCCGGACCTCGGCTCCCCCCACCCTCACCATGCAGCTGCTTTCAATTTTACTTCTCTCAAACATTCTTTTGTTAATTTGGAATTGCTTTAACTCGTTAATGTCTTCTAACTGTACTACTTACTTTAATTAGCTCGATAAGCCAAGTTAGAACATCGATATTTTAAAGAAGAATGAAATACGTTATAAAGGATCTCTAATCATGAGCTATATGAAAAATATATTGTTTTTGTACGACAGAATACTTATTTAGATACAAAGTAAATGATCCATAATCTATATCCCAGCTATGGATAAAGTATTGATATCAACCTAGTGCCATTCTCGTACTACAATGATTTTATTGGCATTAACTTAATCATGAAACGGTTTTCAATTTAGATTATCCTGTAATATGACTCGGGGCAAGCTTTCAAGTACAATTTTATTAAGCCTCTTAATTGAAATAGTTTTAATAGACAAAACAAACTCTGTCCTAATTTGTTTCAGCAGCAAACACGACCCTTTATAATTTGTGTATCTATTCTCTTTCATGTTAACTACATCTCACTTATAGCGGATCCTGTAACGTACAGCCTTCAGCAGATCCTCGGAGAATATTTAACAACGTGATTGTATCGTGTGTATCTTCATGTGACTGGTTGGATATTCCTCAGATAGAAGTAGGTCAAGAGTTAGCATAGCATGCTACTCCTGGACGGTCAGAAGAACCGGCTACTAACCATTGTCTATCTCTTTGGCTACATTTGCTCTTTGTTAATAACAAATGTTTGTTGTCAGGCGCATGCGACGTGGCGGGCGGGGCGGGGTCAGTGAACTCGCTGCCGGGCGGGGGCAGCGCGCGCCTGGCGCCCTCCTTCGACGTGGCCACGCCGCGCAACGTCACCGCGCTCGTCGGCAAATCCGCCTACCTCAGCTGCCGCGTGCGCAACCTCGGCAACAGAACGGTGAGTACATACGACACATTACGAAACTCTAGCAAATCTTAGTTGTGTACTTCATCAGATTTTATCCCCGGTAGCTACATTTAGAGTGGTAACAACTAAACCCTCCACTACTTTGCAGAACATTAGAGTATAATTTCCGATTCACTCGGAGTGTGGCGACGAGAACCGCTTTTAATTACTCGCAACAATTACAAGAGACGCTGCGTAGCGACAGACATTTGCATAGAGAGGAGGGTTGCTGGGATAAAGCCGTGCAGAGGGCTGGCAATTTCTCGCACTTTAAATCCTCAAACAACAGTTTAAAAACACGAGAGGAAAATATACGAGAGTGCGCATTGAGCGGCACTTATATATCACGTTGAGTTGCAGAGATATGTGAACAGATAACATGTACATATTACCAAAATACGATAGTCGTTTATTACATTCAATTGACATCTGAAGGTGCAGAAGATTCTTGTTTGTCCTTATGACTTTATCAATGTATAATGGCTCTATCTATTTTCGCTACAAGTTTACCGTTTTGCCTTTAACACGGTACATCCGTTTTAATTTTGGAAAATTCACAGTGTACTCCTAGTTAAAGTCCTACCGAATTTCCTTGTTAGTTCCAAAAAGCGTAGGTGAAACTTTAGTCCCCACATTTACCAGCTTACTAGGTGTGAGCGTGACTGAACAAACGCTAAACTGTACTCGCCTCGGCTTAATGAGGCAAAGGCAATACCTTCAGAAATAACCATACACCATTTCCTAAAGCTCAAACAATATCGGTACTATTTACTCTTTGTGTGTTCATTACTCGTATAATATATTCCTTCCTTAACAAAAGGGAATTTCGTTCCTATCCTAAAATAATAAGAGTTAATTTTTATTCATACTAAAATCCTATATAATTATAATAAGGACTGCGACACACTCCCTAATAAAGCACATAACAAAGAACTTAAACAATAAACAAACATTATTACAAGAGCCTAACAAGTTAATACCTCGAAAATACAGTATCAAAGTGTCCTGTTCGTGAACTCAGCGACTTAATCCCAGCTTAAGTTTAGTTCAAGTATAATTTGTATGCTCGTTGGCGATCAAAAATGTTACCAAGTTTGAATTCTTAAGGCGCGCCCACACCGTAAGCATCAGCGACAATATGAGACTTGATTTTCAACAAACTGTAAAATACACCTTGGTCCCTGTGTACAAGGGCTAAGAAGAAGGAAGCGAAGCGGAGAAGAGCGGAACTTGCATAATGACCCGCCGCCGCCGACTTCAACCCGCTACCTTGCTATTTGCTTATGATAATCACTCTTTATGAATATTCATAAGTGTTCGTCCTGTTTATTTGCCGCTACACGAGATAGCACGGATGTTTTGTGTAAACGACACGCGTCAACAATTTACAACTTTAAGTACCTATTAAAACTCATAGATATATGCGATCGCTTTCTGACTGTAATATTAATAGGAAATAAAACTAGATCATAAGGAATTATGGTTATATTTTCTGCAGTTTAGAGTACAAGTTTCAAATGTATACGCTAAGCTAGTTGTTAAGATTTCACTTCTAAAATATTTCCACCTAAAGTATGTTTTGGAAACTAAAAATCGGAATAGGTTCGTGCACGCGACAACACAAAAGATCTCACTGGTATGTCTCGTGCAAAACTTTGTGACACGATTTTTATAAAATACATTTACTAATGAGAAATACGACGAAAATAAAACTTCCTATTTATTAACGTAGACAGTCTCAAACTTGGTGGTAAACATGAAATTCATATTAACTTTTATTACATAGGAACGTCATAAATAAGCATAAATGTCGTTTACTTTATGTTTATCATTTTAAGTGAGAGGCGCTATTACTGAACACGGCCGTTATAGCCTGGCTCTGAGTTAAGTGAAGACACGTTCCACCATCCTTGAGGTTGTTATATTAAATTATTTAAATATAGAAATATCAATAAATGAAAACGATATCAACACAATACAGACAGAGATAATCATTGGCTTTTAGAAACAATAACCCGTTAAGCGTCCACCCCTTCTTTACAGTTAGGGGTAACTAAAATTAATTAAAATTACAGTTCGCTCCCGCGCCCTGATAACACTAAACAGCTACATATTTCATTAATAGTAATTCGAGGGGGTGATAACGCCACCGAGCTCAGGGTGATAGGGTTAAGGAGGGGGCAATAACCCAACATTGTGACGTTAAACGACTCTTGTTATTACAACTTTGTGACACGATTCCTGGCATCAATACCTATTCTATACAATCTCGTTACATGTCTAATGTTGTTTAGTTTTACGACATAATATTTTACAGAAGACAAAAATAACAAAGCGACTATTACAAACACATGACAGCTTACTATTAATGTAATAAAATGTTTTTATTCTTCGCGTAATATAATTCTGTCTGATCAAAATTAATGAATGAATGCCTCGTTGACTCTTAATTGATATATTACCGGCGCGTTTTTTTCATAACAAGCAAGTTAATGCCCGTCAATATTTGTTTTAATACTATTTGATGCGAGCTTATATTAAGAGCTGTAATTCATGTAAATATGTGCACGAAATGCATGTTTAAAGCGACTGTATGTAGGTCTGTAAGTGACATTTTCTACCTGACACTTCAAAGGTGGATGCGTTTGAGGCGCGACTGTCAATTTATTGTATCACGTTCAGAAAGGAATGTAACTATTTAGATCTTTAGTGCCGCTTCTAATAAATTATGTCAACATACGGTAACTATAGAAGAGAAGTGAAGAGTCTATATTGCTCGTTGTTAATACAATTGTTAGGTCTCTTTTAAAACTATTCAAATACATTCAAAACATTCAATCGATCGCAACATTGTTTGAGGAAGTACAAACAAATAGAATTTATTGTTCGCAATCATTGCGTATGTAAACAAAAAACTACACACGATTCATACGGTTTTTTTGTTATAACAATAGCGTAGAAAGCCGTAATCCAATTAACTAAACAAGTTTTTTTTTCCGAATAATTGGCTAATATTTCATTTAAGTAGAGACAAGGGTATTATTAGTTTTACGACGGCACTTCAAGTTGCGGCATTTATATGTAAAACCGTTCACGTAATGCCACTTTACTTGATTTCCATTATGAAAATTGAGCGGAAAAGCTTATGAAAATTATGTTCCCGCGTGCAATGTCACGTCACGTCACGGTTGCGAATTTTTTTGCATGTAAATTGAGAAAGATTTTTTGCGTAGTTTTTATTAAACTACGTTTTACTTTTTTAACTTTTTAACTTCGGCTTTTTTTTACTAAAATTGATGGATATCGATTCGATACATAAGCGCTCAAGGTTAGTCTGCACTAGGCTAGTGAGCCGAGTAATTTAGTAACTAAATGTTAGCCGAAATAAAACATACCTCGTTTGTCGAGATGGATGTCATTAATACTAATAAAAATATGACTCGGTTCAATTATATCATTTAGGTGACAAATAGCGTTTACACTGTAGGAAGATAGTGCATATTTTTTATTAGTTAAGTTAGTTAAAATTGTTTACATAATAACACAAAATGAGGTTGACGTTTTATTTTTAAATCTATTCTATAATTTAGTAATCTTATAATGTAGTTCTCGTCCTGTGCAAAACCGCGGTCACCTTGTTTACTGCGAAAACTTAGGTTATAAATTGATGCTGAAATTATTGAAACGAAAATACGTTTGTTATTTTCAGTAAAAGTAATTATGACTTGGACAAAAGTAATTAATGGAACCAAAATATAGAAAGGAACGAGAAAAATCTTTGATAGAAAAAACCTTATCATTTGTATCGATTTTTGTTTCATTTCTCATATTGGATTTCCTTCAACGCACAATGAACCCTGAATAAAATAAAGTCTGTTAATATATTAAAAACTGAAATCACTGTGTTTACTTGTGTCTGCGAGTGAACTTCAAGTTGATACCGGCGTTAGGATGTGTAACGATAGCGGTGGGGTCGAACTGGATGTGATCGGGAGTGTCGGCCGCGCGCGCCACGCTATACCGCCTGAACAGCGTCACCAGCCCCGACAACATTTGCATCTTCGCGAAACGCTTGCCTGGTACATTACCCAAAAATCAGATTAAACATACTGGAATACTATAGAACTAGAAATGTTGTCAACTCATTTTAATATATTTAAATTAAAAGAACCAATGGTTATAATTACCAATACAAGTCCTGGGTCCCACACCGAAGGGCATAAAAGTGTACGGCCTGATTGTTCCCTTCCTCACACCTAGAAACCGCTCCGGCTGGAATTCCTCTGGGTCTGGAAAGTATTCCGGGTGGTGGTTTATATGATACACAGGAATATGTATACGCAGGCCTTTTTCTAATCGTAAGCCACTCGGCAATGTGTACTCTTCTACGACTTCTCTGGTGATGACACCCAATACTGGATACAGTCTGATGGTTTCCAGCATACATGCCTCTAAGTAAGGCAACTCCTCGACGCAATCGTAGCCTATTTTACCATTATGACAGCTCAGATACCAGTCTATTTCATGTATGACTTTCTCTTGTGCCTTCTGGTTCTTTGCTAGAAGATACAATGCGTAGCTCATTGTTGTGGCAGTAGTCTCGTACCCTGCAGCAAAGAACCCCACGCACTGCACACTAAGCAGCTCGTCGCTCACCTCCAGCTGCACTTTCTTCGCACCTCCCGTCTTCAAATTGCTCATGCTGTCTCCCACCAAGTATTTATTCTGTTTCAAACTCAACATGAGATCTACAAAATCGTTCCTATTCGATGGCTTGTGTTCACGACAGATAAACACTTCACGTAGTAAACACTCAAAGAATTGGATTATTTCACGCGGGAACACCCGGCAGCCCAGGGCGTAGAAGACGGCAGGCCACATCGCTCTCGACAACAACTTCAGACCCCTACTCCAAGAGTTTTCAAATATTTTCCTACCTATTATTAGGTAAGGATTAGTCTTTTTACTTTTGTTCATAGTGTTGGTTTCCA